GGATCCTATATACGACCGTAAATACCTTATAGAGTATACTAAGCGATTGTGCGGTTTCAAAAGCAGTAATAGCAGAGTAAATACGCTGCTTTGCGCCATATGATATCAGCAAGGCATCAATCAGGCATCAGTTGGTATTGTTCGGTAAGGAACCTCTATATTCCGACACCTTTACCGATTCTACCTGTTGACTACCTTACAGAGCCTGGAGGGGGCGAGATACCTTCGACGTGATATACAGAGGACCTGGATGGTCATTGAGCATATGAGTGCTTGGAAGACACTTAGGGTAAGTGTCCTGTCTCGAAATACAACTAACTAGAACCCTAGATACGATACGAGGGAAGCCAGGTTGTGACATGCGTATGGTTCGTGGGTAATATTCATGGACACAGGTATTCTCCGGATCATACAAGTACAGCAAGTGATATTACCACTTAAGCTTAAGGGTGTAGACTTGCGACTTCATACAACTCTCTCAGACTCTCTTGTAATAGACGCATGTCCGTAAGCACAACTGAGACCCCTATTTTTATGCCAATAAGCGGATGCTTGTCACGAGCTCGGAACAGTAGATACTAATGAAATGATATTCCTATCTAAACTAGTGTAGCCATCGACTAGAATATCGAATCTGGAGAAGAAAAGAGAAGAAGAGGCAAGTCTATTTACACGAAGAAGTCCTATATGGCTGTGTATCGTCTCGCTAAGTAGCTTGTTTGTCTTGATTGCTTCCATGATATTGTTTGCCGTGTTGATGATGTTTGCTGATGTAGGCGCTGAACTGAGCCGTTACAATGCCCTAGAAGCTCCCGTGTCGTTCTCCTTTCCTTTGGTAGCGAAGCAAGCACCATTTTCACGAAGGACAGAAAATACTCCTTCTCCTTGTCTTCTACGGCCGGGAGCACATACGTAAAGCTGTGATTCGGGGTCAGATTATCATATATGGATATGCCTGAAACAACATCAGCAAACTCGTGGCTCTGTTCTATACAAAGTGCTTCTGATACCATTTTGGTCGAAAGATGGACCACCGAAATACTGCTCGGAGGTCTTGCAGATACTACCATTCTCGATTGAGATAGGATCATGCCACCTTTGACTCAACATCGCTTTGATCTCACAACCAGCTCTGTGGCGGTAGTCCAAGTAGGACTATCATCTCTACGGTGCGAGCTTTGGCATTATAAGTGTTTTAGAGCGACTCATTGCCCTGGATGAAATCCTAAAGCCGGTGTACTGTTAGCAACGAAGTCATGAACGGGGAAACATAGAACGCACAAGGACACCCAGGTTCCATATATCTGCACTCATCTTCCAGTCACAGCCGAGGATAACTTTTGGCACATGATAACGGCCTAGCTCTATAGAGTAGATTTCATCAGCATCCTCGGAGTTGAGCCTTGTGGCGTTTCTGAAATCAACGAACTGTGGTATACTCTTTATATTCCCCCGCGGTCCGAAATATTTACAACAGAGATAAGAATCTGATAACCTTGGCTAGTACCGCTCCAGGCTTGACAGGGTTAAATTCCTTGGAATTGTAACCAGGAAGACGCTCCTCGTCAATAGGCTCTTTTCCTAGTAGAGGAGACCCTGTCGGGGGGAAGTTCAAGTGATTCCCTGTGAGAAGAATACTTGCAGATTCAGAGGGACGGCGCGTCATAATATCGCTCAAGAGCTACTATCTAGCCAACTTTCGCTATGTGTATAGCTCTTGTGGTTATGCTGTGATGTAATGCTTTCGCCGCGTCTCGTCGAAAGTGCGGGCTACTGGCCATCGCGCTGGAGGATACAGCAGCCAAATTGGCTCTGATGGCTGAACAGTTTCACTTCTGATAGTATAGTTGAACACAGGACTATAAACGCCCTCTGGTTCATTGGCGATCTGAAAACATTTGGCATAAACAGCAAGCAAGCCCTCATTGTCCCAGATTTTGTTAAGTCTCAAGTCAGAGGTATCAGATAAGGCCCAGTCTCGCGTAGTTTGACGCGCCTCAAGAAAATAGTATAAAATCAGTGAATCTATCTGTTAAACGCCTGCACATATATTCAAAATGAATTGACCGACATTCATTCATGTGAGCGAGTCCTGCGAACTGTGCTACATTCTTGCAATCACGCCACTAGTTTCGAGGTTATTCGATTTTAACCGAGTTAGAAGAGTATGCCTTTTCCAGAATTGCCAGTATTTGTGTCATCCTGAGGAGCTTTCTTCGTCGGTGGCGTCGTGATGTTGGTCTTCGTCGCCTGCTGACGAGAGGGGAAGACTAAGTTCGTGTTTGACAGGGGCTTCAGGTTCGACTATTGTCAAAACAGGGTCGAGAGTAACTCATTTAAGGTGGAGAGATTTAATATATGAGTGAAGTGCAATAAACATTCGGCCCTATATTTCCTTTTTGGGCTCCGATAGACAAAGAAAAATCAATCTCTTACGGTATAGTCGTCATCATGTGCTCAGCATGCTCAACACTGCTTCTGCTTATATATATTACCATGTATACTAGGGTCTACGAAGTAAGTATTGAAATTAAAAGTTCTACAGAAGCTCGCGCTACGGATTAAATTTTGATAAAGATTTTCCAGGTTGTCAGATGTATTGATTGATAGAATTTCAAGTCATCCGCTCATTTGGGCATAGGATCAAGGGAGACATTCTTTGTGTAGTGCAGAGTAAAAACCTCGACTGGGACTATAAAAACTGACTTCCCCAGAACATGATCCTCCACCGGTTATCTATGTATCCAATATCCAGGTCCTCCGCAGGTGCGTGTGTGCGTGTGTCGCCCCTATATATATGTCATTCCCAGGTGCCTTCATTCAGATAATCCTCCAGATTTCCCCCACGTTTCGAGGTGTCAACCTTGTCCACATCATGCTCTCAGGTGTCTTGTGAGGTTTGCGGCACAAGAATGTGTCTTTTATCCGATGGAACGAGCCTTCAGCGACATCCCCAATGGTGGCCCGTACTCATGGCGGCAGCATGAAAGGCTCGTACTCGTAAAAAGCATCGACAATGATGTCTGCAATATATTCCCCCACTTGGCCCTGTCGAGACTTGACGACATGGAAACAGTGGACCAAAAGGGCGATCAGAAACCCCGCATCATCATCGTCTTCCTTAGGGCGGATGCGAGGGATCATGCTCTAATCTGGCCAATCTGGTACCTCAGCATGGATTGACCTGACATATAAAGTAGCCACCTCTGTCATCTGCTCCCGGAGCGGCGAGCTGGTGGTTCCTGAGATTAGATTCTCAAGGCATTCCTCCTGATGCTCATCCAACCCAGCGATAAGTGAAAGATCCCTCACGTTCTTACAATCGGGCCAGCTGTCTGGAAACAGCTCAAGCTCTCTGTGAAACTGGAACAGCTCGTCTTCGAATAGTCCAACTGGTTTGCAAGACGCAGCGTTGTGTTCGGCAGTGCTTTCTAACTCTGTGCCCGCTTCAACAGGTTCGATGTCTGGGAATAGTTTGTCAGCAAGCAGTCGTGTAGAGAAGTGGGTGTGCTTACCGCCTGCTCCATCTTCGGTCGTCAAGCAGGAGTCGAATTTGACCCTCTTCATGCAAGGGAGTTTGAGCATAGACAAAGTATTCATAGTAAAAGTAGAACAGAAGGCGAAATAGCAAAGTGAAAAGCAAGTTGTAAGAAAGATGGACGCAAGACATAATATGGTTGGAAGACAGAAGGGAGAAGAAGAGGAGTGGAGAGAAATAGGAGGGGGTAAGAAATAAAGCAAGAGAGACGGGAAGGTAAACACGACCGGCAGGCACCGTTCAGACCCTACCTCCTACCTCCTTCCCTTCTTGAGACCAGCCACATCGGAAAAGTAGAAATATAAATGGGGTGAAATAAAACCCAGTAGAGAATATCTCACCTACTACAGCTCAAATCCAAAGTCATTAAGTCATGACTAGCTGCCGTACAGACAGCTCTTTGCCATGCTAGATGTTGCGACATGATCTGACATACATGTGTATATGGATTAACTGTTCAGTAATAAATATATGCATGAAGGTATCAATTGAAAGCAAAGCATGTATTTACAGTCCCATCATCACCTATACCCTACCCTTCAAGTTAACAACAATATTATCCTGCCGAACAAACCACAGACTGGTAACATTCCAAGTATCCTTCGGATAAGCCAACTCCATCTAATCACTGTCAGCACGTCTTATCCTCTCTAGTCCTCCACGACACAGGAACAGATATTAACGTACCTCGTATTTTGCAAAGAGCGTAGCCACAATCTTATCGCTCTCCATCTCACTGAAATTCCTCCCAATACAACTCCTCGAACCAGCCCCAAAAGTCAAGAAAGCGCGCTGCATCCTCGCAACTCGTACCTGATGCTCCTCGCCCGTTTCGCCCGACAACTGCAACCATCGCTCAGGAATAAAATGGTCCGCGTCCGGCCCAAATGTGTCCGCATCTCGATTGATCACCCATGGGTTCATACCCACGATGGTACCCTCAGGTACGAAACGGCCATCTGGGAGACACAAGCCGCCTGCTGGGACGACACGCTCCATGAGCATCCCTACTCCAGGATGGATACGCTTTGCTTCACGCATGACGGCTGTGAAGTAAGTGAGGTGCTGAAGGTCTTTCCATTTCACGGGGAAGGGTAGATTGGCAGAGTCCAGCTCCTCGCGTAGCTTGCTATGCACGGAGGGGTGCTTTAGGATGTAGTAGATAGCAGAGCACATAGCTGTTGCTGTAGTGTCGCTCCCTGCTAGCACATTGGATAGAAGGTAGATGGTTGCCATTCCATTGTCGACAATCTCTGGGGACTTCTTTTGTGCTTGGAGGACGCGGTCCATGAAGTCAACTGGTCTTGCTGTTGCTTGCGACTCCTTCTTCCGTTCTATGTACATATCCTGGATATACTTTACTGCCCAGCCGAGGCCAGAAGGGGAGATGGCCTCGACTATTTTGTTCTTGCCTAGAACATTGTCGACATTCGGCATTTGGCTGAACTGTCGCGTTATCAGCTTAGTGCCTCGGATGAGGTTGAGCAACCTGACTTACGCAGGCGAAATAGTCGATGGTATTCTTCGCAGTCTGGATGATTTTGGTAGGATCGTATCCTTTTTCAAGCATTCCAAGAGTTCCTGAGAAGGTTGCTTGGCCCATAGCATCCCATGCAGCTGGAGTTGTCAGCAACCGCCAACGATATAATTTTCACGGGACAAACCGTAGAGCAAATAGTCCGCCATGTTGCATGCAATCCCTGGTTTCACAAACCTCTCGTCTAACTTCTGACATAGAAGATCAATAGTTACTTCTATTTGAGGCTCCATATCGAGGACTTGCGTCATCGAATACGCCTGACGAATCGGGCGTAGGACCATCGAGTGCCATTTCTCGTCCGTGCTGGAGAAGACGTTGGGCACTCGCATTCCGTGAACACGGGCGTCATTGACAGTATAGAAATCACTCTGTCATGGACATCGTGTCAGTCAATATACTTGAAGGGATAGAGCTGTACTAACCTTCCTCCACGCCCCCTTCGTCGTATACACCTTACTGATCAGACCGGGATCCGACAAACTGATGACATTTGGACCAATCCGCACAGCACTGCCATATTTCCTATGCAGCTCCAGCTGTGTCTTGTCAGGCCGGCCATGGAAGACATCCAGGAAGCGCCACAGGTTTGTGAGACCAGCAGGGATCGGTCCCGGGAAGTCTTTTAGTGGGGAGTTGAAGTAGGACAGGAGGTATAAAGAAGAAGTTATAGACAGAACGCCCCAAGCGATACTAATGAAAGTTTCTGCAACCGCTGTCATTGTTAGAGATGCAGCTCGACAACGAAAAAATTGCTGGATACTGATTGGGGAACAAGCTGATTGTGCCCGGGCACAGGCGACTAGAAATACCACTGACCTCGTGCCCTCCATGTCTACCAGCTCAATGATGTCCATCGCATACCGCATCGTTACAATGTCAAGTTATTCCATTATCGCGCATCTCCGTTCTATACGAATTTCCAAACCCGACACATGATTGGCTACAGATGTGCCATCCTGGCAGCGGCCGCACGATGCAATAATAAGCGTGCTATAGCGCAGCAAACCAATACAGTCAGCATGGATATTCACAATACATAAGGTCTAACGGTTTTAACGGCCTCCACCTACCATAAGTTAAATCGGAATCTTCAGCGGTTAGAACTCCACGAATGATAGTAATATCCCAGCCTCATATATCGGCCCACTCATCACCTACATGCATGTCCGATCTCGTCACATCACGGAAATGGTCCGGACTGCATATCTTCTTCTGAAACGGCAGCAGCTCCGTCTTTCAATGCACGATTTCTGGATTTTTCACATCGTCAAAACGTGATATGTCGAGGAATCGAACCGATCTGGGAAGGAGTTAGGATCGGTGTGAAAGAACCGATACGAGATGCCGATAGTGGAGCGATCTCGTGGACCATGACCTCATTTTATCAAGCGGTGTTCCTCTAGTAGAGCATGGTACAGGATAGTTGGGGTACTGCAGAATTGTTCATAGTGACGATAATAGACGTCAAGAGTCAATAGTGTTGTTGCTTTTATGTTTCCAAGTAGTGATACGATAGCTACAGGCCGGGTCCAGATATCCATTTCACATAAGACATCCCTCCTTGATACTCGAATGTAAATCGCTCATACCCACCTTAATCCGCCGAGCACGTCGCTCACGTTGCTGCTGTTGCTGCTTGTCCTTGCTCGTAGCGCTAGCGCTATCAGCGCCTGGCGAGTCCGTCCTAGCACCGCTCATCACAGGGCTCATAACCCCGCTCGTCCCAGTTTCGGCCGTGCGTTCGAGGGCAAACACCTCAACTATCCACTCATACCATACCTTGCGGTCATCAGTTTGCCGATACATTGTCACAACGATTTCGCCATCTTCGGGCACTCCAAGAGGTGTCTAATATAAATAAAAACCGTTAGCCAATCCTCTATCAATGGCCAATGATACCAGCCAACGAGATTGCTGTAGTGGATAGGAGAGGGGCAACAAAAATAAAAAGACTCACCTTCAAAGGGAAGTAGATTGGGAACCAGCTAATCATGTTAGCACTCTTGCTGTCCATCGTCACAGGATTCGTCGAGAGCTCAACGTCGCGATAAAGCACAGTCTCGAAGTATCCGGCGATACCATGACAAACCCCGCGATTCTGAGCGGGAAAAGCTAATCGGGTCCGACGGACGTTATGCGCATTTGAGAGGGTGGATGACGAGGATGACTGAGGAGGAATGTGACGGTTCGGGTGCGAAAATGACCATGCTGTCTGGACGAATGGAGTTGCGAACTCCGGACCAGGAAGTGTGGAAATCGAAGAGCGGAGGTGATTGTGGATGCTGCCACTGTTGTTATTCAAGACGCTGGTAGCTGGTGGGTGGTTTGTAGACAAGAAGTCGACCGCATGCAGCATGACAACGTATGGCGTTTCAGGGGCGGCCGGGTTGGTGGCGGACCCATTCATGACATCGGCATGAAGTTTTGGGGCGGAGATTGGCGATAAATGTGCTGTGTAGGACTCCGGGATGGATATTCCATGCACAGGATTGATTAGAGGAGTAATGCCATCCAAACACTCAGGGGACAGCTCATTGTCGCCGAAGGAACCCAAAAGCTCGGAGATCACAATGTCGACATGAGTATTGGTATATTCCGGAATCGGTGGAGTGACTGGTGGTACAGTGGCTTGCTCTCCGGTAAGGAGAGATGAGCCCTCAATACCAAGTGACTGCCCAACTGGTGCAGGTGGTCCAGTAGTGACTTTCTTCAACACTTGAGGCCCCTTCCAGGCTCGCATGTCTGACTGTACAAGGGTCACCTTGCCACCCCATGTAGTTTCGTTGTGACGCTGTAGGAGAACAAAGGCATTGGGATTCTTCTCCACGGCCCACATATCGATGTCGACACCCGTTTGGGCACTGGCACGAAGAGCCCTGGTTACCAGAGGTCCTCTACCAGCACCAACAACAGCGACAACCACCCGACCATCAGGGTTGGATGTAGGTTTCTTTTGGTCTGCCCAATCACTCAAGGCCTTTGCAATAGCACGCTCATACCAGTCGTACTTGATAGGATCCTTTTCAAAGACTTCATATGTAATGCTCTCCAGATTAACCGTCAGCGGCTGCAGTGGAGCTTGCAGATAGTCTTGGTATCCAGTACCAAATCTTTCGATGGCGCTACGAGCAGGTTGTTTCTGCTGAAGGTTCCTCATGTAAGATAAGTGTGGAGTCAGATCATGATGTTTCTTGCTCGCGATAGAAGCCTGTCCAAGACTGGGGAATTCAGACCCAGATAGGTTGGACTGGTTAGTGTTGTCGTTCATCTCGATGCCAGGAATAGGACCGACATCACAAAGCAAAATCCACGGGGCACTACGCAGGCGCATAAACCGGGTTATCAAAGACTGATGCGCTTTGGACAAAACCGGGTATCCTTTCTGGTTCCTGATAAAGCAGTTGGTGTCAAAAGTAAGAAGGTGCACAGGCTCAGAATGCCACCGGGACTGGACGGACACAGGCGGGAGATGTTTTGGAATGGAGAGAGCTATCGAACGTTAACTTAGTCCGAGACTCCAAGTGATTGAAAAAAGACACAGAGCACATGGCATGAGAAGAGGGAGAGCATCCATTCTTACCTACGAGTAGTCGTGCATGATATTTACAGGTTCTCCGGATTAAATCCCATGCCTCCCAGGTACCGAAAGAGTCCACCCTCGGCGTTGCATCTTCTTCTGGCTCAAGGAACTCCCCGCGGGCAAGAGGAGCAAGATCACCCATTTGGTCCACCTCATTTTCCGGGTTATCGATAGTTCTCAACCAGATATGGAACTGGATATAAGGACCGAGATTCAATGCGTCCTGGATAGTCCTAGCATAGTAAACCGTTCCTTCGGCCTGCATGCTCCCATGGTGTAGCTTTGGTCCTGGAACCAGCAGGTAGCCAATACCACAGAATGCTGCATACGCAATCTCCAGCATGAGAACCTGACGGGAGATGTCCGCAATCAACGGGTCCGGGGAGCACAGATCAATCCAAGAACTAGTGACCCCTACCACTTGGCTCATAGCGTCATTTGGGGTCAAATGCGTATCAGCCGGGCCAAGCGGCGGAATTACCAATGGCCTAGTATTCCGAGTTGTTCCCATGGTGCCATGTCTATCAGTCGTCGCAAGTTGCATGCCGGATAGATGAGACGAGAGGAGGGTTAGGACGCGGGAATGAAAATGGGAGGTGGTGATAGGCGTGGTAAGCATGTCATACTGTTCACAGTCATGGTCAAATTGGGCTCAATTGATATCGCCATATGGAGAAGCGGCAGGGAACAATCGTACATTACTCTCGTGGGCCTTGCGCACCACATCAGGCGTGACAGCATACGAACGATTGGACTCATGATGACCAACGCAGAAGCTGGGGACCGCGTCCTCCATGCTAAATGAATCCATCCTGGCGAAAATATCTCTTCTGCCACTTCTGCCAGGAAAAGACTGTTGGCTGCCGTTTGTGGACAATCGAAGAATGCCAGTTCTCAGAGCCGACAAAAGCACCGATTCATAGGAAATAGAGTCAAGATACCCTATTCCAAGCGCTCCCTGGAGCAATCCTGGACCGGAAAAGAGGGTGAAAGGGAGGACGATTGGCTCCCTCGAGACTTGGTCTGCACCTCCCTTTGCAATTCCCTTACCTTTCGTGGGGAACCCGGCAGAATACCGCGGGCGGTGGCCAGTCCCCGATAGGAAACTGTGGCTATGCGGGATACTTGCCTATCTTGGTGATGCCATTAGCCACTTTCAGCCACAGCGATCTTTCCGAACTTTTTTTCCATTGATTTTTCTTCTTCTTCGGCGCAAACGCAACTCGTTCAAAAAACGCTTGGTTTGTTTTTCTCGTCTTTTATCACATCATCATGGTCGATCGTCGTCCAAAGACTGAGGACGGTTCGCGATCTAAGCGTCAAAAAATGGACAAGACCGAGACGGATCCCAAGGACAATCCGTACCTGGCTCACATGTACGCTGATGAGGACTCGAACGGTAATGGATGGGACGATGGTATGGCAGAGAAGAACCCGGCCTATGGCAAATTGAAGAGACATCAGACGACGGCGAAGCTGGCGAAGGACGTTGAGGATAGCGAGGTCAACCCGTTCAACGGACAGCCGTTCTCAAATAAATATGTCTCGATCCTGCAGACTCGTCGCGATCTTCCAGTCCATGCTCAAAGGTAAGTTACTTGGTAAGATCGCGCAAGATAGATTTAGCTGCTAACGTCTGATTAAGAGATGAGTTCCTCCAGCTCTACCAGCAGTCCCAGATTCTAGTCTTCGTCGGTGAAACCGGTTCCGGAAAGACAACACAGATCCCCCAATTCGTCCTGTTCGATGACCTTCCACAGACTCAAGGCAAGCAGGTTGCCTGTACTCAGCCGCGACGTGTGGCGGCTATGTCCGTCGCTCAACGTGTAGCTGCGGAGATGGATTGCAAGTTGGGAGAGGAAGTTGGTTACAGTATCCGTTTCGAAGACATGACGAGTCCCCGGACAATCCTCAAGTACATGACGGATGGTATGCTTCTGAGGGAAGCGATGAACGACAACACACTTTCGAGGTACAGCACGATTATTCTGGACGAAGCTCACGAAAGAACTATGGCCACCGATGTGTTGATGGGTCTGTTGAAAGAGGTTGTCGTGCGTCGTCCTGATCTGAAGATTATTATCATGTCTGCTACACTGGATGCACAAAAGTTCCAGCGGTACTTCATGGACGCGCCCCTGCTCGCTGTTCCCGGACGAACCCACCCAGTCGAGATCTTCTACACCCCCGAGCCGGAGCAGGACTATGTTGAGGCTGCAATTCGCACGGTTCTGCAGATCCACGCCAGCGAGGATGAAGGCGATATCCTATTGTTCCTGACAGGTGAGGAAGAGATTGAGGATTCCGTGCGCAAGATTTCCCTGGAAGCAGATGAGATGATGCGAGAAGCCGACGCTGCTCCCTTGAAGTGCTACCCGCTGTACGGTAGTCTTCCTCCACACATGCAGCAACGTATTTTCGAGCCAGCACCTGCTGCACGAGGCCCAGGTGGCCGCCCCGGTAGAAAGTGCATCATTTCGACCAACATTGCTGAAACTTCGCTTACCATTGACGGTATCGTGTATGTCGTGGACCCCGGTTTCTCTAAGCAGAAGATCTATAACCCTCGTATCCGTGTCGAGTCTCTCCTCGTTTCCCCCATCTCTAAAGCCTCTGCGCAACAGAGAGCTGGTCGTGCCGGTCGTACACGCCCCGGAAAGTGCTTCCGTCTTTACACTGAGGCGGCTTTCAAGAAGGAATTGATTGATCAAACATATCCTGAACTTCTCCGTTCCAACCTTTCGTCGACGGTCCTGGAATTGAAGAAGCTTGGCATCGACGACTTGGTTCATTTCGACTTGATGGATCCTCCTGCTCCTGAGACTCTGATGAGAGCCCTAGAGGAACTCAACTACCTGGCCTGTCTCGACGACGAGGGCAACTTGACTCAGCTTGGTCGTCTCGCATCAGAGTTCCCTCTCGACCCTGCCCTCGCTGTCATGTTGATCAGCTCGCCAGAATTCTACTGCTCGAACGAGATCCTTTCCATTACGGCACTCTTGTCTGTTCCCCAGGTGTTCGTCAGACCCGCATCCCAACGAAAGCGCGCAGACGAAATGAAGAACCTCTTCGCCCATCCCGACGGCGACCACCTCACTCTCCTCAATGTCTACCACGCATTCAAAAGCCCCGAAGCTCAGGAGAACCCCAAGCAATGGTGTCACGACCACTTCCTCTCCCTCCGATCCCTCCAGTCCGCAGACAATGTCCGCATGCAACTCCTTCGCATCATGGAGCGCTCAGAGCTAGACATGGTCTCCACACCATTCGAAGACAAGCGCTACTACGAAAACATCCGCCGCGCGCTGTGTGCTGGATTCTTCATGCAGGTCGCCAAGAAGGAAACGCAGGGCAAGAACCAGTACATCACAATCAAGGACAACCAGAACGTTCTCCTCCACCCGTCCACTGTGCTGGCAATTGAAGCGGAATGGGTTTTATACAACGAATTTGTCCTGACAACCAAGAACTACATCCGGACAGTCACTGCCGTCAAGCCAGAATGGCTATTGGTATGTTTCCTTCCTCCACTTCAACCCGAGAAGAATCCCTCAATGTTAACAATCCCTCCAGGACATCGCCCCCACATACTACGACATCTCCGGCTTCGCCAAGGGCGACGTCCGCTCGTCCCTCCTTCGCGCCGCCGAAAGACTCGCTCGCAAAGAGAAGATGCGCGCTGACCCCGGCAAGAGACGATAATCGACTCGGAGCATATAATATTAGACTTTTTTCTTGATATATTGTTACCCAAGCTTTTAACGGCTCAGTTTAGAAAATATATGGCTGTTTTATATTACCCCAGGCAGGCGTCGTTGGTTCGCTCATGAATTTATGTACTTACGACTTGACATGATACTTGGGACTCTTAGACCAGATTCTGGAACAAAATTGAGCTGCATCTACTTTCTTAATCAGTCCGAACCAAACCGACTCAAGATACAACTCAAACAAACGTCTCAACTCCGGGTGTCTCGTAAGAATCCATCCGACACGGCATCCTTTCTTGTCGGCTATATAATGCTTTTTATTCAATACTGTACATAACCGGCCGTAACATAATATACAATTATACAGGTATCCAAATGCAAAGGAAATGAAATGAAATGACCAAAAGGATGAACAAGAAGGGAAGTGAAGAAGAGCGTGGGCATAAACGGGACAAGATAGGGTAAACATCTCTCGACGAGTATCGATCATTCATTCTAACAAATATCATTCCATGCTCTAACAACCAAATTCTCACTTCTTCCGGCTGTGAGGTATAGAGTCCAAGCTGGCCGCTTGCTGTTTAGCAAGCTTGAACTCGAGTTTCGATGGGAGTACTCCGGCCTTCGCCTTCAAGTTCGCCGCTTGGTCCCTTATATTGGTCGTCGAGTCCGCAATGTCGGCTTGTATTGATTGGCCTGTCTTGCTATTACCAGCGACTTGGCCCTTAACTTCATGTAGTTCGTTTAACGCAGTCTTGAGTGAGCGTAATGCCTCGTTCAATGCGCCTCGTTCAGAAGCGAGGCTCTCTTTAAGCTCTGAAACTTCAAACTTCAGGGACCGAATCTCCTCGTCTTGCCTTGTGGAGGTTTTCTCGTGAGCTTGGTAGGATTCTTTGGTTATCTTGCTGACCTTTCTCAGCTCGCGAAGTTCGTCTTTCATGAGGCTTATCACGTCGTTGTGGGCGGTCATGGTCTCGGTTTGAAATTTATTGGCCTCGATAGCGTCATCGAGCCTTTGATCCAGGCGGTTGATGTCGCGACGGAGGAGTGAGATCTCTTCCCCTTGTTGGATGAGGATTCCGGGTGCTGAAGTTTCGGCATTGTGGCTGTCCAACTCAGGGATTCCTGTACCGTCAACTGATTCAGGAGTAGTCCCTGCTTCTGTAGGAGCTACGCCATCTTCACCGGGGCTATTATGTTGAGGACGTCTTTCAGAAAGAACAGACGACAGGAGAGATTGTGAGAAGTGCCCTGACCATTTTCGCCGTAACCGAGCAGGACTCTGCTCTTCTGGGAACTCGCCAAGATCGCTAACAACATCCCCAGCGATGCGTAAAAACGAGAAGCATTTCTCTCCAATTGGTAAACCCTCGTTACCGGATTCCGACATCATCGAAGCACCTATCCACCTTTCAAACAGAGGGTCGATCTCGTCTTCGATATCCTGCTGCCTCTCCCCTAACCTTGGGTCAAAACCACTTTCAACGGCAGCTTTGATGATAGCCTCTGAAACAGCAGACTTCTCGCAAGAATCGCACAAATGCACCATCAAGAATATCAATCTCTCTGCGTATTTCTCAATGTGAACGCTTGTCGATCCCATGTAGGCAATAGCTCGCTTCAATGTATTCACCCCGTTCCACCAGTCTTGTCGGATAGCGTAGAATTTCAGATAGGCGAATAGCGTGTGGTAATCATCCATGTAGCCGGTCAATCGCGCGGCCTGGAGATATGCATCAGCTCTTTCAGGCTGGTCGAAACGGAGACATGCGGAGATCAGAGCGGCGTAAAGAACTGGGTTTGAACTATCCAGTGGCGGAATTGTCAGGTCCATTCCGTTTATCACCTTATGTCTGAAGTGGGGCATTTTGCCCAAGTTCACCGGGTATCCTCCTCCTATAAGCATTTGCAAGAAAAGGTCGAAGTTGAGGAGGTCCTTGGTTTTTCGATAGAAATTCAGAATCGTGATAATCAATGGCGAGCTAAGTCGGAATCGATTCGGAAACAGTGTGCGGAGAACCATAAGCCCCAGGTCATTCTGTCGAGTATGCGTGAAAGCCAAAAGCATGATTTTGAATGCCCGTGGCCGGTCAGGTTCGATAGATCGCGAGAGATTGCTCGCTACTCGGAGCAAGTATTCCTGGAGAGATATTCGCCCTGAGAGGTAAATGTTGGTGATTTGTTCCATCTCATTGTCAAGTTTGAATTTATCCTGCCGCACCACATGATACGGATTTGCCCGAAAAGCGTGCATGATATCGTCGACATTCACGTTTTCATTCTCCCTCAAGAAATCTATCCTCTTTCTCAGGTTGTTCAGCTCTGTGAGAAGGCGTGTTGGCTTTATGCGAGGCACATCGTTATCACCAGCATATTTCATCGGAAGACCTTCGTAGTCATGGGCAAGAGTCGGACGTAGCATAAGTCGAATTGCGAGTTGCTTCAATGCTAGAACACGGATGGCCTTTTCTTTCATCGAGGGGCCTGCAAGCCAAATCGGGGTCCTCAACTCGTCGGGTTCCTCTTCGGCTTCGTGTTGTCGTACCGCAGCATCGTCCTGATTGTCAAATTCCGCAAGGCTTCTCTTAACCAGCTCATGCTCGTCCAGGTCATGATCCATATCTATGCTGAAGCGGGGAACCGTCGTGCTGTATGATCGAGATTGAATTGTCGTCCCACCAACCACCCGGCGCCCTTTCCGCGACTCGAGCGCCGATATAAGTCGTTGCTCCTCGCCAACCAACACATCGACCTCCTCCTTCACAGCCGCTATCCTCTCCTCCCATTCCACCCGACGTTTATCCTTGACCTGCGCATCGGCGAGAGCGGCGGCAGCGAAGATGCTTGAGTAGAATGCGGTAAACGAATTGGCGAAGCGAAGTCGTCGTTTACTTGCCGCGGTTGCCCCTCGGGTGACACCAACCACAGCGGCGTTCGGTTGGGTGACTTGACGGCAGGTCGTCGCCGGAGCTGCGCGAGACCAAAGCCTTTGCATTATCTCGACATTTCTGGCCGGGACCGGGGGTTTCTTTAGTCGGGATGATAATTAACAGACAGGCAATTCTGGAGAATGATAGTAAATGATCAATTGCCCTTCAATATAGAAAACCGGTCAACAAACGGAGAAGACGCCCATGGAACAATATGTGCGGGACGAGAGGAATTTCTGAGAGTGACCGGATGATCCGCTGCAAACATTGCAAACACCCCCCGAAGAGGACCAACTAAGCGTTATCTGCCAGGGGAACCATTTTGTCTCGAATTGTTTACAGCAATACTATTCTGCCTGGTATTGAAGACGTTTATATCCTCATCGCTGCATCGTTTTCTTTTCTATTTGCAGGAATTTAACGCTGTTGGGTAAGATGCGTGCTCAATCACTCGGTCTTGCTACTGTGCTGCTCGCCTTGAGCGGGCTTGCCAGTGCCCATGGGTCCCATTCGAACGAGAGCCCGTCTTCAGACTGGGCGACTCGTCACATGCAGGGTGAGGATAGACTTGATTGGGATCTCCAAAATCCCGGATCTACAGAACCTCGTGCTAACTCCTGAATAGAGGAACACCACATTGACTCGTTCGACGCCGGTTCCTTCTTCACCCTTCATGATTACGACTCCTCCGGCATGTGGACAGCCGACGAAGTGCGCAAAACATACGGTCTCGACGATCAATCGAATGCTGGCGTGACCGAGGAACAAAAGCAACAAGCCGTCCGGGAGGTGTTCTCTCTCTTCGACCCTGGGAGGACAGGCATAATTACTCGTGATGACTGGATGCGTCTGATCTCGTCGGGGGTGCGGTTACCGGATCTTGGATATGGGCCTGGTCACCACGGAGACATTGAATACGAATATGAAATCCATCACTTCGAGCAGTTCCACGGAGACGACGCGACGGAGGAAGAACTCACGCACCCGGAGGATATCGAGCACTTCCGGCAGCATGATCAGCTCGAAGATGCTGCGGACCGGTTGGAGCAGCTTGAGAGGATGCCAATTGTACAGGCGAACATACCGCAGAAGTTCCTTAGACAGTAGCCACAAGGTTAATGGGTAGATTGCTTTTGTTCTCGTTGATGTATATATGTCTTTGTTAATAGCATGATCTCAAGCGTGTGGAATTCACTTTACAGAGAAGACCAGTTAATACGCATTGTCGTTTTGAAGTTCTATGGTGATTTGATTTGGGAAGAGATCCGAGGGTCCTCATGCAGATCTCAATTAGTCGCTTTTGTCCTAGATAATCGAACGTCAAAAACGCAGTGCATAACGCCTGGCGCGTAGGTCTTGACACGCTCGACATGCCGACAGTCAACACTGTGCTCAACAGGATTCGGATCAGGGCGGTTCTGGGATCGTAGTCGTTTAATCTCAGCGACAATATCGTCCTGCATCTTGTCGATCTCCCGAACATCAACGTTCTCATGGACATGGATCCAGCCTCCCTTGTCCATGTCAATCATCTTGGTAGCATTGTCCCAGGAACCATGAGAAGAAGGAAGTAGGCCCAAGTTGACATGCCTGATGCTATTCCAGTTCCCCCGGGGTTGCATCAAACCCCGGATTTCATCCAATATGCCAGCCGCAAATTGATTGTCACCATGGAATATAACCACCCTCGTATCATCATCAAGGCTGTCAACAAGCTCTGGAATAGGCCGATCCACCAATCCCCCATCGTCCCGCAACCTGACAACCCTGCACCCCCATCCATTCGCGATACAACCCCGACGTAGCCCTTCAATCGACCACCCATTAATCTCCCACCCCCAAACCCTCTTAACCCCCTTCTTCAAATACGAAAATACAAAATATCCAATCCCCGCATACATATCGATAACACCCACATCCCCAACCGCTTCCCCAGCTAAGGACTCCTCATCCAATCCCTCAAACACACCCGCATGCCCCAGAACTCTCGCTTTCTCGGTGATATTCCCTCTCGAGAACATCGTATACAGCGGCGCCCAGGTCTGCACAATTCCCTGATTCTGCACCGTATGCACCCACAGCGCACTTTGCAGATCCTTCTCAGATGGATGCGCATTGTCCATATCTCCATCTCCATCCGCAGATACAGACGGCGCAGTCCCAAAATCCCCATACAACGGAACCAACCCCACCGGACTCCTAATCCGATTCTCCTGCCCCTGCGGATGAGTCAGTGCAATAGGCGCATTCATAGCGACATGCGTAACGCCCATAGTCCGAAAATTGGCCACTACCGATTCAAACAGCGCAGCTCGTTGGGAGGCGTTCAGAGCTGCGTAGAGCGCGCCCCATGCTGGTGGCGTGGTGAGGGCATTTGGGGGGAGGAGCAGGAGGGGCTGGTATACCGTGTAGCGTTTTGGGAGGCCATCCATGAAAGTTTCTATTGAGAGATTGTATTCTTGTAGGTCGGATGGTGGGATGCGTGTTGTTACGAAGTCGCGGATACCTTTTTGGAGGGGGTGTGTATATTTTTTGGGGCGTTTTTGGTCGGGTTTTGCTCTAGCTTTTCCGCAACCATTGTGGTTCTTTTTTTGAGGTTCCATTCTGTAAATCAAGATTTTTAATTTGTATCAAGTTTCGATTCGCAGAGTCGGATTTGGTATCAATTCGATCAGACGTTGCGATTTTATCGCATCTCCCCGCCACGTGACTTCCAGGAAATTTTTTAATATCCTCGCTGGGTTCCTAAAGGTTGGAAGGATAAATCCAGTCGAAATCAGTTCTAGTTGTATGTGATATGGTGACATAAATATAGAATAGAAACTTTTGGTGAAGGATGTGTTACGCATCGCGCTCGCGCGGAAACATTTTCATTCCGCTATGGATAACAAATCAGGGCTAATTGACTAACGCTTCATTCTCACCCAGTGAGGTATAGATTCGATATCAAAGCCATGCAGTCTGAAGGAATTGAAATGAAAAAAAAAAAAAAAAAAAAAAAAACCAATGCAGTTTAAATAAAGCGAAAGCAACTCAAAAATAGACAACGGCCACCGCCAAGAAGAAATCGACGCTTAGGAAGGAAAGATGAACATCAAAAGCAAATGGTATATATAATATAAGAAATAGAAAAGAAACAAAACGCGCTACGCCAATTAACCGATCTGGCGCTAGTAGTCCATCACAGAATATCCTAGTCTGTCGTTCGAATCGAGTACCCTATGAGTATACAATCAGCGGCGTAAATAGTTAAGGGATACGAGCAACTTACGAGTACTGTTTCGTCAGGGTTCCCTCCCCCCCTTTCGATAAATCGATGCTGAATACGTAGAAATTGCCATCACTGGTTACGACCATCACCTGAGGCGTGTTGCTGCTCATGGCGACCACGCTCTTCAGCGGACCGGAACTAGCTGTGGCCCCAGGGCCTTGGTTGGGCTTTGGTAATTTGATCCAAGCAAAATCGCGTGCTGGTTCCCACATTTCACTAACGCCTTTCGGGAGATATCCCCCGACCTTCGCTGCGACGGAGCTCCCCACACTCTGTGACGTCCGCCGTAACATTCCAATCAGTGTCCCATTGTGTTTCCTAGAAGCAAAATCGGATGACCTTCGTTCGTCGCCCAGATCATCAGATTCAGGAGATTGCGTAGAGCTTTGACTGATTGACGCCCTGTCGTAACCTCCCGGTGAATAGGGGGTGCCTTCTGGAGCCTGACTTTGAGGACTCAATTTGAAGATATGAATTGTTTCAGTCGACGATGACACGCAAAGTAAGGTGGATGTGGTATTGAAGGACATGCTGTAGATTCTGGAGGGCATGGAGCCTCGTCGGAATTGGTAGAGCTTATGACCATCGGGGACCGAAAAGACACGAATTATTGTTCCCTTATCCGAAGCTGTCGCAAGTAATGTCCCGTCACTATTGAGTGTGATGCATGCTAACGGAGATCGGTGCGCTTCCACAACGTTGATAGCTTCGAGCTTGAGAGTATCGAAGATTAGAATTTCACCGCTTGTTGGTGAGACATGTGTGCTCCCAGGTGGCGCATGAGCTGGTGGTTGGAAGGACGAAGGGGGTGCTTTCTGTGGAAGAGGATATGCGAGGTAGCAGTTGTCCGAGGAGGGTGACAGGGCGCAAATAGCTGTCTCTCATTAGAAGCCGTATATCTCCCGTATGGATAAGAAAGAATTCTTACCGTTGGGGTTCGGAGAGGTTGCGATGGTATTCAACAGCCTCATAGTCTGAATATCGTAGAGATAGATCTGGTCTTCTAGCACGATCACCAGCCGTTTCCGATTGAGCTTGACCGCAAGCACGGTAGTCGGGAATGTCAATTCGCATATTGTGGATTGGCGCTTTGAGACGAGCGAGAGAGAGTTAACATAATGTTTCATAAACGAGTGCGATTGATAATCCAATCGCTTCCCGTATTCTTAATCATAATAACAAGAAAATCTATGTATGCCCACCTGGGGAGTCCTACGAACCTTTGTATTAGTGATCTGAAGACGACGAGGAGATAGAATCAAAGCCACTAGAGATGTCGAGAAGAGCATCTCAATGATGGCAATGTTCCCTTCCTTCGTCTCATGGCTCTTAGCGAAGGGGTCTGTCGTGAATATCCGAAACCCTTTGGACGTTGCTTCGAGAGGTCAAGGAATGGTCTTTATCGCGCATGGATTGTCGGGTTTCTTACCAACAGCCAGGTAGCTGTAGTCCTGATTGAAAGTCACGAAATTCATTTCCATCTTGATGGATGGGCGAGGGTTGACGGAAAAAAAAAAAAAAAAAAAAGAAAGAAAGAAAGAAAAGAAGGTAAAAAAGGGATGAAAATAGTCCTGCTAAGAGGGTACTCAGTCGCACTATTGAACTATCCACAATGTGCCTGAATAGCTTGTAAGCTATAAGCTCCCCGCGATCTCGGACCGGGATGATAGATAGTGACGACTAAGGTGACGGGGACGACAATGATAGAGGGGTCTCAAACGAGATATTCCCGTCGCGTATTTCTTAGTCAAAGAATATCGTCGCGTCGCATGTCCTGTTTTATCTGATCAAGAACAACACGCAAAATCCTCCAGTATCAAAACATACAAATAGGTTGTTGAATCAGAGTATATTGAGAGATGTCTGTCGTCGGAGGGTCCGGGGGATCGCTGAACCGCAGTTCTTCCGGCCGTCGTCTGGCGTCTATTAGCCGCGCCAGCCGAGACGCGACGCTTGGGCCACATCTTGATTCTCGGCGGAGTTTTTGCGCCCACAATGACTTGATGGAGTATAGAGTGCGATTTCTTTTACTATCTGCACGGCTTTGAAGGCACTGAATATGGCGCCCAATAAGAAAAATGCTGTGCCTGCTGTCAGCGTCAAGGCTGAGAAGGAGGCTGACTTGGTGATGGAGGTATGTGCTTTTCTTCTGGAAGGAATTCGAAGAATGTAGCTAACAGTTTGCGGAATAACTTATTCAGACAAACAATAGCAGCATTGTGTCAAAACGAAGCGTCGAGATGCTCTACTACCCCAAGCCCCATTTCTTTCACTACTTCGTCAAGAAACCCCAACGACGGTCACCGATCATCAACCGGGGATATTGGTTGCGCATGTACGCCATGGCCGAATCCGTGCGCCGCTTCATGCGTGAACCATCAGATAAGCCAAAATTTGTCTTGAACCTTGGATGTGGATTGTGAGTCGTAGGCAAGATAGCTTTCAGCGGAGAAAAAGTATACTAAGAGCTGGGCTTTCGTAGTGATCCGCTTCCCTTTATGATGCTCAGCGCCGAAAAGTCCCTGTGTAGAGACACGATGTTCGTGGATATCGACTATGAGAAGCTCATGGTCAATAAGAAGACGGCAATTCAACGGACCAGCGAGATTTCAGACCTGCTCGACAATGTAGAGTTCTTTCCAGATGACAAAGCCATTCAAATTCACAGCGACCACTATCTGGCGATAGGCTGCGATCTGAAGAATGTCAAGAAGCTGGACGAGACATTGCGCAATGAGGTGCTTCCTGCTGACTGTTCGGTTCTATATCTGGCTGAAGTTTCTCTCACATATATGGATGTCGACTCTGCCAATGCGGTCGTCAACTGGGCCTCTAAGCTAAGTGCTGGTCAGGACATCATGCCTTTTCTCAAATATATTCCAAAAAAAAACTGCTAACAGGAGATCAAAGACGCCCAATTTTGCATTCTGGAGCAGTTCTTCCCCGATGGACCAGAGCATCCCTTCGCATCGAAGATGATGAAGCACTTCAACAAAGTTGGAGCGCCATTGCACTCTATTCACGAATATCCCTCGCTACGCGAACAAGAACAGCGGTTCAAAAATGCCGGTTGGACGCAAGCGCAGGCCAGAAGTCTATGGGACCTATGGTCAGACGATGACTTCTTGAGTAGTTCAATCAGGGCCTCGCTACACAAGGTCGAGTCGTTTGACGAATGGGAAGAGCTCGCGCTCTACGCATCACACTACTTTCTCCTACACGCTTCCACAAGAAAACCAATCTCGAATCACGATCCTGAATATGAGGACACCTACCCGTGCGTGTCTCCTGACTTCACGCTACTTTCTCAATGTCCACAAGAAAGTGACCAGCGAAGATATGGCGCAATCGTTCCGGACACTGACTTTTCCCTCGGCCATCATGGGGGACTAGGACGCCAGGCGCGACTAACATCGACGAGTCTGTACGGGAAGTCCAAAACGGTTACCGGATCTAGCCAGCCTTTCCCACCAAGTGTTATCCCCGCACGAATGTGTCATACAGCGACATCTCTAGCCGGTGATGACAGTCTGCTGGCGGGAGGTAGAGCCTCGCCAGCGGCTGCTTTTCAAGATTGCTGGCTGAGGAAGGGAGGACAATGGAAACCGACTCATAGCCTTCCAGAGCCTCGCTTTAGACACTCCGCGGTGAAGGTGACTCTACCAGATAACTCGGAGGGCGTGCTAATCTACGGAGGAAAAACCAGCGATGGTCAAATATTGGACTCATGGATTTTGTGGAGCGAGAATGGAAACGGCTGGCAAACAGTCGAAATACTCGGCAACAAGCCCCCTGCTCGATTTGGGGGGTGCCTGGAATTCCTTGAGAGCCAGATGAACAAGGGGATCATCGAAGGCCGCTCAGAGACAGGCGTTCTCTTCGGGGGAATTGGAAAAAGCAACACTATTATAGAGGACATATGGACATGGACCTTCCATCAACAGAAAGATGGAAAATATACACTGCATTTCTATGACCTGACCTACGTCCTGCAAGACGAGCCTCTGCTCAAATACACAACCCGCTTTGGAGCCACCGCGAATCGCACCCTGTGGGGACTCGTTGTCGCCGGAGGCATCATGCCTCGCCAGATAGTGCCTACGGACAAAGAGATACTGCTTCTTGACTTCAAAGAGCTTCTCAAACGCGTGAATTCAGGATTCGATTGGGATGGCAATTTCATCTTCGAAATAGGGCTTGGGAAGGACTTTGACGGACCGCGTCCGCTTTTGACTGGTCACGCCGCTCATGCTGTTAGTCCAGACCAGCTCATTATTCTGGGTGGTGGCGCGGTGTGCTTCGCATTCGGGACGTTCTGGACGGAAGGGACCCTGGTTTTGAAGCGGACGGAGTCTGCCGTTGAGAATGACTGGACGGTGGTTTCCGAAAGCGCGCAGCTGACCAAAAATTCTATGGTCCAGAAGGACAGAGAAACCAGTTAATGTGTTCTTCCACAATATGTCGGCTGGATAAGTGGCCGGTCGGGCTGTGTATGGAAATCGGGATTTGCAGGCGTATGAGAAGTGAAAGAGCGAGGTGTAAAAGATCGCGAAGGGGTTTGAAGGTGTTCCGCCCGATATGACGAGGTTTGTTTGTTGTAGCTTGTGCAGGAGCTCAAGGAGCAGGCTGGTGTTCAAGTGAGTCTGGGCTGGAGTTTGTTTTTTGTTAGCACAAAAGTTATAGATATATTTTTTTGGTACTTGTGTTAGTAGGTATTTATCAAGGAATTATGTTGTGTCGGTTCAAATGAGAGCAAAGGATGCCAGCCTGGCGCTGCAATGTGAGCACGCGCATTCTGCGAATGTAGGATCTAGGAAGACATTTCCTTTCCGCAACCATGCGCTGCACGTATGAGCAAGGAATAAAGGTGGTAATAGAAAGCAAGAAAAAATGCCGCCGCCCCATCCTGCGATTTGTAAGGACAACACATCGAGAACAGCTCCAGTTCGACCACTTGGCCCGGACAACAAGTCGACACGAACCATAAACATCAGCGCACATATGGTTATGAAACCAACAATAATACCGTTGATGTCAGCGTCGCTGATCTCTGTCAATCCTCCGGCCAGTGCTTGGAAGCTCTCACTGGATACGAAGTATATAGCCCGCCCCTCTAGGGTAAAAGATCGCAGAGGGGACCGTGTGTCCAATAAACCGTCCGGGACCAACTCGCGTAGGAAATTCCAGTGGGTTTGGATAGACCGGGATGGAGAGATTATGTTTCCATTGGTCCTTGGATGTCCACAGCCAAGCACATCAGTCCCGGAAGACCGAGAACTTAGCCTGAGAAATATAGTATACTGTGCGGGATATGGAACCGATGGCATCGTCATAGACATGAAAGTGATCGTAGGTTTATCGAAGCGTCATGGATGGAAGACAATAAAACCAACCACCATGGTCCAGGGAAGTTGAACCATGGTTATTAACCACACCTGTTCAACAGTCGCGGAAGCGGGGAGGTAAAAAGCACAAAGCGATCGATAGAATCGAATTGGTCGAGTCCAAGCATGTATCTGTACAATGAGCAAGTAGCCGACTCAACGTGCAGCCTGATTGGAGAAGACGTGCCAGTCATTGGCCGATGCAATAGCCCGAGCATACATCGAGTGGCTTCTAGGCCTGTGGTTGGGTTTCCAGCGAGAGTCATGATTTGGTTATGGAAGAGGGGAAGCTGAAATGGAGGGCACTGATCTTGTTGGTGATATGTACTCTGTAGTGGTGTATGGATGCCCGGGGAGAACGAGGCGACCATGACAGCAGATAGAAATTGGATTATTGGCTGTTGATAAAACAAAGAATTAAATTGGATTAACAATAAAATATTAGTAGAATGATTTTCACGGCGTGGTCTCCCAATAACAAACACCATCATTTATATACAGTTATTTACCCCTCCCCATCCCGTGACTTTTTCTTCCCTCTCGACAACTTGACTTCAACCTTCGACTTCATCTTATCTTCTCCCCATCGCTTAGTCCTTCATATCTTTCCTACAGGGGCATTTCACACCATTTCACTTTATTTCTACCTGATTCTGCGTTGGTTCTCTTCTTTCTCCATCGCAGTGGATCTCCTTATCTCCCGGTTTATCACATCCCACAGACCAAGGTTGATCCCTACGCCCGCATACTAGACGCCTGTTAGGAGATCCTCTCGTGTCGCTGCTTTCAGGCTCTTGATTCTCGACATCGCTCGGTCTCATTCTTTGTCATTCTTCGCTATTTGCCATCCCCCCGTTCCTCCGCGTTGGCACTCGGACCAGCCCCTTAAGGCTATTTGATATCCGTATCCGTCGCTTGGTATGGATACATCTCCACATCTGACCTCATAGCCAAATGCTAACAAAAAGTGGTTCTCTCCCCCTCTTTCTAGTTTCTTGAATCCTGATTGAATCCTGGATCGCTAATTGATTCGACTTGAATTGACTGTCTTTCTTATATCAATCGATCTGCATATGCTACAATCGCGCGACTCGTTCTCATTATAGTACGAAAACGAGTGTGTTTACAACGATTCCTACGAGAAGCGCAAGATCCTTATTATGGCCACAGTCGTGGTACAACAGCAGCAAGCGCTGCGATCATCCTCCGACATCACTGCGTTCAACTTGAACAGAAACCCAACCCCTATCCCCAACAAGCACTTACCAGTTTGCCCAACGGGTCCGTCTCCTGTTTCAAATTCGCCATCCCCAGATGTACGAGAAAACAGCGATGAGGAGCAGGTGTCGTCGTTGCTTTACCCCCCCAACGCATACTTTCAGATGTCCAGATTCCCCCCGGTTTATACTATCGATATAGAATCGCTGGCAGACGCATTGGATCATTGGGCATCGCAGCCGTTACCAGACCCCAGTCAGGTTTTCCCTTGGTTGCATGGGCTCCATCCAAGGAACCGTCTACAACTGGGATTCTTCACCAACCGCAAGCGCTCCCTGCGACAAGCACCTAAATGCTGGCGAGGCATCACCATTGTCAAGGTTGGAGGTGATCTTGCGGCATCTAGGCTCAAAGGTGCAGTGGCTCCGAGCGAGGTGCTGGCGCCGTCAGGCCTGGAGTTCGTGTTACCAGACCCCCAAGAAGGTTTCTCAGTGCGCAACTTCCAAATCCAGACGGCAAAGCTGGCGGCGCTCTCGGATATAATTGTCTACGGTGATGATGACGCTGACCAGAACGACGTCCTCGACATTGCTGCGAGAGTCGCGACCGCACAACATGACTGGAAAATGAAGAACGACCCAAAACGACTGGCACCGGAGTTCAATACCTTCATCCTCACAAGTTAGTTCATTCCAAATCTTGCCTATCCCTCGCAGAACCTTACCTCTCTGCAGGCTCTTTTCGTGAAGTAGAAGAACGGTACCCCAGTTTAGTGGCCATCGACTCTCGAGGCGAGATTACGGGCCAAGTCATGGATTTCTGTAAGTCCCCGATAGCCAACACTCTGATGATCGATTCTGACGGATTTCAGTTTTATGGGAAAGACTGGAGATGTATTCGATGACCGAGGCATCGGAGATTTCGACAAATGTTTGGCAAGGTCCAACCCCGGAATACCTGCTGAAGTCCAAGCCCTGGGAGTCGGCGCGTGACGAAGGGTTTGACTTATTGATTGAAGCAAACGACCTAGCCAGTATCCCACCGCCTCACGTTTTGAATCATCTTGAGAGAAAGCTTAAGAATGGTCCCCAGCGGCTGGAATTCCCGTCGTCCGGCTCGCTTATGCCACCGTCCTCCGGCCCTGCTGAGCAAAGGGAGCTGGACAATTTTGTGAATACCGTCCGCTGGGTGCATTATCTAGCAAACGCGAACGGGTCGGCGGACGAGTCGGATTCGGAAGGCGATATACCCATGGTCACTTCATCCAGAAAGCCCTACAAGATCCTTATTCACGGCCCCGATGGGTATACCGAGAGCTCATTACTGGCACTCGCGTATGTCATCTATGCGGAGGGAATCACTGCGAAGGATGCTTGGTTGAAGCTTCACACTGAGAAAAAACGCAACTTCTTTGCTTATCCGATTGATGTCTCATACCTCACCGGTATCCAAGAGCGTCTGCTCAAGGAGAGCCCTGTGACACGTGCTCCTGATCTGTCCTCTCTTTCGAAACCGTCTTGGTTTGACAATTGTGATGGATCCTTCCCGAGTCGCGTTTTGCCGTATATGTACTTAGGCAGCTTAACACACGCCAATAACCCAGATATGCTTTGGAAACTTGGCATCCGGCGTGTGCTGAGTATTGGCGAACCGTTGGCTTGGTCAGAAGGGGACTATGCAAAATTTGGATCGGAGAATCTCATGAGCATTACCGAAGTTCGGGATAATGGCATTGATCCTTTGACAAAGGAATTTGATCGGTGTTTGGAGTTTATTCGTGAGTTCCCCTCTACTCACAAAGGAAAAGCCCGTTCTGACAGTTCTCTAGGGAGAGGAAAACGTGATGGTGCGGCTACTTTGGTACATTGCCGTGTTGGCGTTTCGAGATCAGCGACTATCTGTATTGCCGAAGTTATGGCATCTCTTAATCTTTCTTTTCCACGAGCATAGTGAGTATCCTCCCCATTGCCGAAGTTTGACTTACTTCTAACACTCAGCCAGCTGCTACGTTCGTGCCAGAAGGCTTAATGTTATTGTACAGCCGCACTTGCGATTTGTGTAAGTTCTTATTGATTCTTGATTCAATATAAGCTTGCTGACATTTGCAAGGTATGAACTGTTGAAATGGGAAGAGCTGCAGCTACAGAAACGCGGCGAGCCCGTGAAGCGGGAACTTGAGTGGCAGATAGTGGCTCGCGAGATTGCCCTGATGAACATGCCTTATACCCGGTAGTACTCGCCCTGCTTGTGCTGCTACGGTTGCATGATCGCCAATCCTACTACTCCCTATTTGGATTCGCACAGCCACATGTCGAGACGAAAGACATTGGCTCTTGGAAAAAATATGGGAATCTTTCTTTGTACAAACTCACGCTTTCCCAGCCTCATCTATGTTTATGGTTACGGCTACGCGTTACGATTATGATTATGGTCACGGTTTATTGCTACGGTTATGGTTATGGGTTACGAAATGGTCTTGTTTTATTATTTCGGGTCTATCGGCTCTGTCAATAATTGGGACACTGGTTAATATTATTCTTTTCTGTCGCACTCCTCGGACTGGGTTGATATGCGCTTTCCTGTACATGTGATGTAAAACTTGGGATACGATACCACAATGCAAAATGTCCGAGCTCTTCTATTTTTAGTCTCGGTTCATGCTTGCTTATCTAGTCCCTTGTTTGACATAGTCTATTCTGGAAAAGTACATCACATTATCTTTGTCATTCTCGTCCTCGACCTAATCTTTGTAAAACTGATTCGTTTGGAAAGATCGATTCAAGCTAATGCGATAGTCCATTACCTCACCTCCACCACCTTCTGACAGGAATCTGTCTTCTTATCTCCACCTTTACCATTGTGTCGCCGATGCACAGCGAAGAGGAGTCTCATGGCACTGTTCATTGTTGAATTGAGTGAGACATTGCTTGAGTAAGGTGTAGAAGCGACGGTTTTCAGGGCGTAGAGCTCGGATGTCTATAGAAATGTAGACTGTCCTTAATCAAGAGATTGAATTCGTTAGGAAGGCCCAAGAGAGATATTTTCCAATATCACCACGGTCAACGAAAGCTGGAGGACAAAACATTGATGTTAGGTGCTCATGAAGGCGGAATAATGCACTAAGTTATAGCGTTAATCAATGTTTTCATTCAAGCTACTGTTATCGTGGCATTGAGCCCGCGGATATCATGTAATAGACATTAATCACTCAAGTTACAAAATAAATAGGGCTTCCAGCGACTACTTTATGGATTATACTGCCTGAGGTGTCTCTGTAGCTCGCTTTGGTTAGCGCTACACCATTCACACTTTCGAGCCAATCACCGCTCGCACAGTCACTAGGGCATCAACATACCTAGATAGGCAACGTAGCAGCCAACGTCAGAACTACATATACCACTGCTAGGATGGATTAGAAAAAAAAAAAAAAGAAAAGAAAGAAAGAAAGGGAGAGAGAGAGAGCACACAAAAGAGAAGAGTAAAGTGGACCCGGGCCTCGTGGACCTCCAGACGCAAGCCCCGTTCTGCGGCTATCTAGTATAGGTATTAACTGGCTTATAGTTATGTTGCCTACAAACAAATGATTCCTTAAAACCTTGGCAACATTTTAGGACATTAAATTTACATAATTAATGCGTAACTTTGAATTCTCAGCAATAAAAAGCTTGACATCTATCCTTGTCCCTCGCACCCAAGCAACATGAACAGGTCATTTTTTAGTGAGTCCAAAACACAACTTGACCTTCCAAGCTTAGCCATTAATAAAGACTGCACAGCTCATAACCCTGTCTTTGAAAGGGTAAACAGACATATCTCACTTCCCCCAATCATCAACGCTGATAAAAAAGCTATCCTCAACATTCTACGAGACCATCATTCAATTGCACGGATCTCATGGCCTGATTTTGAAGTAAAGTCGGCCACATCAAGAGCCCCAAATTCAACGTCATTCACTTTCAAGTCAAAATATAGCACTAGCTCCTGGAAAACAGCTGTACTAACTGATGTCGACGATGGTATTATCATACATGATGTACCCTATCTGAAAGTTACTTGTTATATAAAATGGACTATAACAGAGGCTCAAGATGGTGAGAACAGTATCATGGAACAATATGAAAGGTTACGACTGACAGCAATCTGGTAGGAATGTTTACTCTCGAGGAGAGTTATGTTGTCAGGGGATCTCGATCTGAGTGGCTGTTCACGAAACTATGTGATGATCATCAGTGGCAAACGAAGTATTTGCTACGTTTTTTTGAAAAGATGGAGCGAAAGGGCTCTAAGGGTGTGACTGAGCTGCTACAGGCGAGATTAAAACAAAGTTGATGCCATGTATCTTAAGTAGAGTAGGATAACTCAGCACCAATGCCAATACAGTGAAACCTTTCAAGACGAACCCATTTGTCAGTTATGCTCCATTCAGGTATAATCTGTATCCATCCATGTTGCTCGATATACTGACTACTTGACAGTCTGGAATAGCTCGCTGCGTTGCCTTCTCATATCCAGGCCACCAACCCCTCGAGGGTAAAAAAAAAAAAAAAAAAAAAAAAAGAATAACAAAGGAAAAAATATCCTGACGTCTCTTTTCGTCCCTCTTACTTAAATAATAGCATGGACCGGACTTTTCTCGGTAAGTTTAACATAAGCTAACTCTGAATTTAACTATTAGCAAAGAATAGAAAGCTCGTGAACCTAGCTTTAAAGGGGAAAAAGAAGCCCCTCCCCGTAAATATCAACACAGATAAGGATGCCATCCTTAGAATCTTATACGACCATGATCCCATTGCACGAACCTCATGGTGCCATTATGAAGTATCGGAATCTAGCTCAACATAAGATTCAACGGCATTCCATTTTAGACCAAAACACCTACCCATTGAAGAGCTTCGCTGCATCAACTCAACAAAGTTTAATGCCAATTTATTCATTTTTAATTTAATTTATAGAAAGCCAGAGTTTGAGGTCACATGCTCTATAAAACTGACTATAACGGATGGCCAGAATGGTGAGAAATTAAGTCGTGCTAAACGAAGAAATGCCATCACAACTGACGACGATAGTAGGTGTATTCACTCTAGGAAGTTACGTTGTTAAAGGACCCCAGCCCTTGTGGCCCTGGACGAAGATCTTCGGCTGCCAGCTGCAAACGTGCGCTTTGGTGATGCTCATTGATGATTTTGCTTGAGAGGCTTCAGAAAGTGAAAAAAAGCGGCTACGGGAGAAACCAAACGAAGGTTGAAATTATGCGTCTCATATAGATTATTTGCTTCTGGATTTTCTATCTTGCTAATTATAGTAATGATCCTGATGCGGCATCAGTTCTGTTCTAGCTGCTAGATGTGGTAAATCAATTCTTATGGTTCTAGCCCGAAGCTTCGTCTGGCTGCCGGAGGACCGGGTGTATTTGGTCTATAGATGGCTTCACGAGCAGTAACGTATTTTGACCATAATTGTACGCATAGGAAAGTTGTGTGCTTTATCATACAGCTCAGGAAATACTGAAAGCAACATTTATCAACCATCATATAGTAGTCTACATAGCCCAGCTTAACCTCCTTCAACTTACTCAATTGTGCTGCTACTTAAGGTAGAATTTTACTGTGGTTATGATGGTTAAGAATCAAGGATGGTGTTCTGCTGCCTATTCAGACTTAGATCCCCAACCTCTCTGCCTTCTACAAATTCTTTTCCTTACAGGATCCTCACAATATCCTAATTCAAATGAAGATGGGCTCATATATTTTCAAATGGCGAAATGGCAGTCAGTATTCCCCACCATCCCCGGACAACTGACATACAAAGTTTTAGTACTCATCATGGCTCTCGCCTCATTCACAGCAAGCCCCTTCGAGGCTTTCAGCAACGCTCAAACACCCGGTACAGTCCCTTCAGATCAGCAACCTCCACAACACCCCTTAACAAGCGCGTCGTGGCAACCATTCGTGCCCTTAATGCCGGGAAAACGGTATGTTCTAACATTCGGCCCATCTGCAGCCGGCGCTGTTGGATAGCTTCATCTTCGTCACTGTCATTCTCAGTTTGTGATTCAGGCGCTTCCTCGTTCTTATCTTTGGAACTTGTAATGGACGGGGGAAGTGGCAGCTGTTCTGGGGTGTAGAAGGCTGCGAGTTCCCGGAGGAATGTTCGGAAACATTCCTCTTCACTAGACCAGTCGATGTAGGGCCCGAGACGGAGGAGGAACCGTGGTAGTTTGCCCAGAGAAGGTAGATACCCTTTGAGAAGCAGGGGGATGGATATGAGGTCTCCATCTTCGGAGATTTGGAGGGAGAAATACTCGTCTAGCATTTCGCGGCGTTCCATGAGGGTATTTGCGACGATGTCGGGAGCATTGGTGAATATTTCGTTTCCTTCTTCTGCTTCACTTCGTTTACGTTGTCGTTGTGCTTTGTGGCTCTCTTTCTCCGCCTCTGCTGCGATGCGAAGGAGATCAACCAATTTTGGCGCTGGGTCGAGTTTGATGATACCGAAGTTGCCAAAGTCAGTCAGTCCAATTTGGTAGAAGAATTCGCTACACAGCATCCCGTAGTCAACGAGGTAGAGCTTCACTCCGGACTGAATGGCGGCGATACGGCGTCGTTCATCCACCAACCCGACATACGTATGAGAGGCGATCATTTCGGTGAGGTTATTGTGCATATTGGCACGGACACCAGCGCGGAGGTTCTTGACTGAGGTGAGAGCGATGCGGATGGGCTCGCGGTCTGTGATCTCGTACTGTAGTCCTTCATCGAGGACGTTGGATGACGTGACTTCCGCCTCGTCAGTGCGAGAGGCGGTTCCGGACACAGTGGGTGGGAGCATGGATGTAATCTTACGGACTTTCGAGTCCGTGCGAACGAGGTTATGTTCGTACGGTTTCCTTGTTGTTCCCGGTGTCCTGGGTGTTGCTGAGGGTCTGCCCCCTGCCAGATCTTCGTCGTCACGGCTTAGGCTTTCAATTGTCGGTACGCCCATTCCTGGAAGAACGCTTTGTGTTAAAAAGGTTCGACTTGAGTCGACCTTTGCGAGTTTTGATCTGATTTCGTTGCATATGGTTTCGATGATTTCGTCTTCGTTTAGGAAGTTCACCTCGCGTTTTGTTGGATGGACATTGACATCCACACGTTGCGGTTCAACTTCCAAGTCGATGTAGACAAAGGGGTGGCCTCCCTTGGGCAGGAAGGCAGAGTATGTCTGCTCAACGGCCCTCTTGACAACAGTGGATTCAACAGCCCGGTGGTTGATGAAAAGCAGTATAACCGTCTTCTTAACATGATAATTGGCGTTCGTAACAAGCCCCGAAGAGCTAAATCCCAGCTTGTCATCCCCCACTTTAAACTCGACCAACTCGTTAGCAACAGCACTTCCGTGAATTTGCCGGATTCGGTCCACTGTGTTTGCTACTGCTGGTGTTGAGATGCTGACTCCTGAGTCACCGTGTTTGCGGCATGAGAAGGCCACACCGGCGCAGTGCACGGCATACCGGCCTACGATGTCGAGGATTTTGGCGTATTCTTCGCTTGCGGAGCGGAATGCCCGTCTTCTCGTTGGGACGTTGTAGAAGAGATCTTCCACCTGGTTGAAGTCAATATGCTAAATCCACCTGATGTGTAAGCTGGCCAAGTTCTTACGGTAATCTGAGTGCCACCACGTCCGGCTGTAGGTTTAGGAGCAGCAGATTGTCCTGGCTTTGAAGGAACAAGCTTTCCGTCGCCATAATGTGCTCTCCACGCGCAGCTAGATCCAGCTGTCTTGGTCGTGACAGTAAGATGGGCGATGTGACTAATACTGGCCAATGCTTCTCCACGGAATCCATATGTACCAATGTTGGAAAGGTCCTCAAATTCCTTCAACTTGGATGTGGTGAATCTTTCGCATAGAACGGGGAGATCATCTCTCTACAGATTTGGTTAATACGACTCCACCTCCAAAGGACAGTCCGCTTACATCGATACCGTGTCCATTATCCGTGATTTGGAGAAGCTTTAGACCACCGTCCTTGACCAGAACTTCTAATGAGGTCGAGCCTGCATCGACTGCGTTCTCGATCAACTCTTTCAGGGCGTGCATCGGAGCCACGATGATCTCCCCGGCGGCGATCTTGTTCACAACATCTGGATCGAGGGCCTGTTCTCTGTCACTAACCTAATCAATATAGTATATAGCTAGGGAGCTCACTCTGATTCTCTTTGGCTTCTGGGGAGGCTCAAACTCAACATCCTCTACTGGTCGCTTAGTGCCGTGAGGTTCTTGGCTATCCACATCCATTTGATCCATGGTGTTTTACAAGCGATAACGTGCTTAAGTGCCAGCTATCTTCACGTTAGTGACTTATTGAATAATTCGGATGAAATTAAGATTCAACGTCATTAAGATAAATAATCGAGGGTGGAGTGGATGAAGAACGATGGCCAAGTCCGCCCATATAAGGATTCCCGCCCGCGCGGAATCTCCGCCTCGCAGGAAACCAACCCAGCAACTTCCACGCGATTGTGATCATTTAAACTCATTGGATTGGTGATGACGGTCTTTGATGGACCTCCAGCTTAAATAATTCCCCGAATAAATCATCTTGAACCTCTGAAACGATAGCTGTACCAACCCGCATGGCCCGCCTTGGTGTCGACAGGCCGCGAAGTAGGGACAAGATTATAACGAATTTATATATGGATAAGGCGCTGAGGGCATATGGGAGGTACGGCGTAGTATCTTTACATATCCATATTCTATTCACAATGCTGTTCGTGAGACATAAGGTGTAGAGATTCAACTCACGTATACTGTAGAATATCGGATTGATAGCTCTAGCACATAACTATCCCCTCGACATTCTTCTAACCAGACTAGAGCAATATTATGTCCCAATCTACTCTTATCGTTGCATAAATCGACAGTTCTCTGTAGTTCCGTAGCTGTCTTTATGGCCGGCGTCGGGTAGCTTACATAATCACTGGAGCTCCACCAAACGCCCAGCGGCGACGAAAGCGAGACCAGCAGGAAGAGCTCCTCTATTCTACCATCAACACCACCTTATACCTTTCTTGTCTGCGGCATCGCTTGCTTTGCAGGCTCTAATACTTATCTCCTCCCTCCCCTACGGTCATTACTGCCGACTCTTCTTTTTCCCTTTTTTCCGTGACGCATTCTTGAGAGCCTATCCAGACACCCTCCGAAGATGGCGAAGGAAGACGAGCGGTCAGCTCCCGTCGACAAGGGCAAGGGCAAGGCGGAAGATGTTAAGGATGTGCCCACTGGAAAAAAGCCACAGAAGGATGAGAAGCAGCAGGCGGATGGGAAGAAGAAGGACGATGAGCCTCAGGAAGGTAGGTCATCGTGGTCCCGCGGGAGAGACGTCAACATACCGGCCGATGGGCACCATACTGACAAGAACGCCCAGAGGAACTCAGTGAGGAGGACCAACAGCTGAAGGGTGAGCTTGAAATGCTTGTGGAACGGTTAAAGGTATAGCTTCTCCGTTTTCTCTTTTCTAGGCGCAGTGTGCGGTTTGTTGGGCGATGACGTTAACTTGGGAACTGCTCTTTCTCTACAGGAACCCGACACATCGCTGTATCGCCCTGCTTTGGATGCAATTAAAAACTTCATTAAGACCTCGACTTCGTCGATGACAGCTGTCCCGAAGCCGCTCAAATTCCTCAGACCCCATTACGATGACCTCACAGCGCTATACGAGAAGTGGTCGGCGGGTCCCGTCAAGGTTCGTTTGTGTTACTGGATTATTCCCCGTTTGATAAAAGCTAAGATGTGTAATCGCAGGATTCGCTGGCCGATATGCTTTCTGTCCTCGGTATGACCTACGGCGATGAAGAGAAGCTCGA